AAGCTAGAAAAAGCTAGATAATTACTTTGCTCATGTGCCGAAGATTTGTGGCTTTGAAAAGATGAAAGGGTTGGTCCGGAAACACGACAGAGACCAAACATGCTGGCCTCTCTGGCCTTAAAGATGGAAAGTTAAACCCTAAACCATGCCCCAAAAGTCTTGTAAACATTACGAAACACCCGAGCCTTCGCCCTAAACCCCTGCGGTTCAACACCCATGGCTCGTCCTGACCTGGATATGCGTGACAGAACTCTTAAGTTTGATTTAGTGCCATTGAGGGTTTCAGCAGCTTTAGGGTTTGAGGTTAGCAAGTGTTGGACTTCTTTTTTCCACCCACCGGCGGCCGAATCTGGTCGCTCAGCCAGCTCGCGGTGGCATCATCATCATGATGGTGACGACGATGACGATGACGAGATGATGACCAGCAGCAGCTGCTGCTGCCCGTTGCCGCTGCGGCTGCTGCTGATGCTGTACTTGGCATGTTGTGATACTGCTGTTGTATATGATGATGAGCCTGACAGGCTCAGCTTTGCAAGGCGTCGGACCGGAGACTGGGTCCCGAAGAACACGCGATCATATTGCTGATGATGCTGATGATGATTTCTGGTGGCTTTATTGCTACTGCTGTCGTTCGGTGCTCTAACCTTGAATCAAATCCCAAAACTCCGAAAAGAAAGCAAAGCTGCCAGGCAGACCTTCATGGAGCCAGGAGAGAATCTCTCGAACATGGCTCCTGCGGCGATAGAGTCGCAAGAAAACGCTCTTCCCCGCATTGAGGATGGTATCTCCCAACAAGCCGTCTGTCACAAAGGACCACAAAGGCGTGTCAGAAGATCTTGTGCGCAATGTTCGAGACTGAGAACTTCAGACTCGGCTTTCGAAGGCCGAGGCACGCCGCGCGACGGCCTTCGGCTGTGAAGACCTGCCGGTCCAGGACGGAGAAGCACAACCGATGTCTTTGGATCGGGGACATTACTCGCCTCGTCTGAACGACAGCGGCCACTGTTGCGCCCACAAACCTCAGATCCAGACTTCTTAGAACACGTACACTTACGGCCTACAGCATTCGACATATTAGACACAGACTTCAACACCGCTCGAGATCTCATTTCTGATGCAGTGTTAAAGCTCAGCACGCCGTGGACAAGCCACATCAAGCGAAACACGCTGGAAAGAGCCACTACAAGACAACTACCTCTCCCGCATGCAGCGTGGCCCCAGCCAGTTCGCAAGCTGCTGTTTCACCGACGTTCTTGTCATGCTGCTCACAAACAAGCTAACTTGTAGTTGGGACATGGAAGAAATCAAAACTTCAAAACCGCTCTCCGACGACATGTCCTAAAACTCTGCATGCTTTCTCCTTTTCCCGACTGGTCTGGCCTCTTCTTGGCTGGTGGGCGTGTGGCTGCATACGCCTGCTCGATTTTTATTGGCTTATGAGAATCGGGGCTTCGGCCTCGGCAACGTCTACAGTCCCCTAAGGCGCCTTTGAGACACAGCTCGTAAAGGTCGTAACGGCTGGATGGTGGAACTAGAACCCGAACCCGTACAGCACAGCTGGCCGAATAAGAAGACACTACGAACCTTCCAGCTGAAAGTTCCAAGGGAGAGCTCTGGCGCACCAGAGCCAATCCCAGAGAAGCGCCAGCACCAACCACCGGCACAGCAGCTGTCGGGGCGGCTCCTTGCCCACTGAGTTTTTGTTTTGGGGGGAGGCGTGCGTCGGGAAAATGAAGTGACGGTCTCGTCGCAGGACCCTGCGCATCTGATTGATTGGATCGTCATCAACACTGGCATTGATTGTACAGCAACACGGCCTATGCATAC